CTGGTGCTGCATTACTTTGTGGAGCTGCTCTTCCACGTGTCACGCCTCATCTACTTCAACAACGAGAAGCGGCAGGGCGGGTGAGCAGGCCGTTCATACCCCACACACCGCCCCCCCCCCCCAACCCCCACTAACACACTGGCGCGTTGCAGGTTCACAGTCTGGGCTGTGCTCTATGTGCTGGGCCGCCTGCTCACGCTGTCCCTCTCCGTGCTCACCGTGGGATTCGGCCTAGCGGGGGCGCCACAGCAGGGTCTTGACTTGGATAGCGGAAACTTCAACGTGCTCTTTGTCCGGTAAGCGGGATGGGGGGGGGGGCAGCTGGCAGGGAGTGGGATCTTCGAGGGGGTTCAGCTTTTGCTCTGGCTATGATCAGCTTATGCTCCACCTGCAGACTGTACTAAATAACTGGTCTAAGGAGGCATAGCTGGAGCTGCTTATATCTGACCCATGCATCAGAACACGTACCTTCTCCGGAAGGCCGTCCCTGAACCCGCCAGCGGTCCCTTGATGTGGTCCTGCGTGTCCGTGACAGTCCCCGCCTCTTGTATGTCCTCCCGGTGCAGGATCACGGTCTTGGCTGCTATCTGCCTGACCCAGGCCTTCATGATGTGGAAATTCATCAACTTCCAGCTGCGGCGATGGCGGGAGCATGCGCTGCTGCAGGCCCAGAAGAGGAAGCCGGCTGCTACCAAGGGCAAGACCAAGAAGGACAGAGGTGGTATGGGCGGCACTCGCCGGGCCCCGGCCAATCGTCCGTCCTGCTGGGTGGGCCTGAAAAGGCCGACGTGTCATTTCCTGTTTCGAAGGCATTTAATCTGGCATCTCTTACTCTCTCAGTGACAGATGTCCGTTACTTTGGAACACGCTAAAGCAATTATAACACGTTAAATTCCACTATGTTAAATCAGCTCTTCAAAGTAGCTTGATATGAGAATTCACATTGACTTGGCTGTGTGCTTGACTAGTATGAGCTGCACTGGGCTGTGGGGTGTTTGACTACATTACCCAGAACCACCCTGTGCCCCCTAGCATGACTGGAGGCTTGTGTCCCATGTTTTACCACGTACCACTGGTTCCTATCATCATTCAGAGGCACGGGGCATACCTATCTTGCCAGTATATCTTAGTCACTGCGCCCCCACCCGGACGAACTTATTGTCCTGCATGCGTTCAGCCACCCCTCCATTGAACCGGGTTCTTTCTGTCTTTTTCAGCCAACGGCGTGAACGGTGCCCTGAACACGAACGGTGCAGACTCACCACGGGCCCGGAAGGACAAATCCTCCTAAGTGGACCGCCAGACCCCGTCGGCGAGTCCAGGGCCCATGGCTCCGTCCCGCGTTTCCATCTGCTTCGTCCTCCTCGGCGCCTCCAACTGGACGGACCTGGACTCCCTCTCCACCTTTTTTTTTTTATTTTTAATTTTTTTTTATTGCTATTCTGACTATACGGTGCCATTAAAGATGTGCATAGAAACTGACGTTAAGTGCCTGAGAGCTCGGCTCTGCGTGTGCGCACCCCTGCGCACCCCCACATCCTCCTTCAGGTCCCCCCCCTCCGCCCCCAAGCCTCTCGCTGCCGTTGCTGTTTTAATGCGACATCGGGCGTCGCAGCATAAGCCATCTTGCATATCATGCAGGAGAGGAGTGATTTGTTATTGCCATTTGAATGCTGCCTTGTGACCCCCTCCCCCCCCCCCCAAGTTCCCAGATGAGGGTTTGATGGAGCAGTGGTGTCCCTTTCCCTTCTGGCACCAGCCCATCGTCGCTGATCGTTGAGGTCCATGTCGGGGGTGGGGCGGTCGATGCTCTGTTTTGCCGTACGTGTGATGGGGTATGTGCCGTTCTCTCGTGATAAGCCTGACCGCAGCACAGCCGTCCAGAGCCTGCATATCGGAACGACTCCGGTTCCCTAGTCATAATGAAAGTGAAAGCGGTCCGTTCGGTGACGTTATGGTCACGTCAGGGCATATCCGGCCGTATTTTCAGTTTCACCAAGGCCACCCACGCATGAGTCAGGCTGGTGTAAGGGGTGGAAGAAATGCCACGTACCGTCATTGAAGTCCTGCCATTCCCCGAGGCAAAGTCCTCGATCGAATCGTAACGCTTGTTTCTCAGTCACAGCAGCTGTGTAGTGAACCAACGCCATGTCCAGCTATAGATGGAGGACTTGCATAATTATTGTTTTTTTTTTTAAATAGTTACTCTGTGTTCTTGTTCAGACCTTTTGTGTTGCTGTCAAAACCAGTCGCACTTAATCTAATTGCCGATTGGGAGTAATTTTTTATGACTTTTCCAGCCCTCCTTGTCTGTGTTCGGTGTCCTCCACGTTGACGCCCCTTGGGTGGGCGTCGTTAGCTTTATGCTGGGCCGCGTTCAGCCATTTTGTTTCCATCTTCACATTTCAGGCCTTGTCAGTCAAGAGGCTCCACAAACACTCTGTTCTCAGGGATGGGTCACTTTGGTCCGACACCAGTTATAGGGGTCACACTGACCCCCCCCCCATACACACACTTTGTTTAAGGTGGTCTGTCTGGTTGTCTTGTATAGTCTGAAAGAATAATTACTAAATAGGAATTGTTGTTGTGCCTCTAGCAAGGGAGGACCAAGCACGCTGTCGCAGGCTTCATACGAACCCGCTTTTCCCGTTCTGGCTGTCTGTCAGGTTTTTTTTTCTTTCGAGGTGACAGCGTTCCATTCCATCAGTACCGGAAGTGCTATGTGTGTGTCTGACCAATCGCGGTGTATAGTAACGTTTTGGAATAAATGTTTGTCTCGGAGCCGATTGGCCAGATATGCATTTTGTCATGTCCATCACTTTGTTTTGGTTGGATTACAGTTTTCCCTGTAAAGGAAAAAATCTGCTGCTTTCATTCCACATGCAGTTTTAAAGGATGAGACTCAAATTAAGGACCCTGATGCCGCCACTAGTCCTCTTGGGACTGGTTTGTGTTCTGTATCAGTACTTGGGCATGATGTCATTTCTTTGGTGGGGGTTGCTTGATAACAGAAAGATGCCCCTCCCAATTCATACCTGGGCCACCTATTTTTAAATATGTATCTTTATATAACTTTGAAAGTAGATATTCGGTTATGACTGTGTGGTCAGTCACCAAAAAACAAGCATGTCCTCACTAACCAGATTTAGCACATTCAAGGGGAAAGCTGAATGGCTTTAACATGTTGATTTCTGTGCAGTTTTAAAGATACGCCCCCCTCAGGTAGTAATGGGGAAGTGCGCCACTGCCAACTTCTCATTTAGCATTAGATCTGTAAACTAGACATTGAAAGGTTCGTGTTATTCCTTTGTTCACTTGTAATAACAAAAAGACCACACCATTGTGTTTAAATTTATTATTTTTAAGATCGATCAAAAAGGCATTTACGTGTTAAAGCGTCTCATAAGCACAATCTCAGCATGCCCACGAGCTGGGTGCCTCATAATGGTTTTATTTGACGGCGGACATTTTCCTTTGCTTTCTGGTTGTATGATTAGATGAATCAGCACCTGCGTCTGCCTACCCGTCCAGTTCGTCCTCATGAATGTAAGTTAAGTTGATGCTTTATTAAAGCTACCTGGCTATGGACTTCACGCTTATGTTACTGTCTACTCCTTCCTGCGCCGTGCCCCCGCCACCTGTTCACAGACAATCCATATAGGTCCCACATGCCTGTCTGTGCCATGACAAAGTTTGGGAATGATGAGGTGACACCAAAACCTCCAGGTAAAAGCCTAATGCTCCTCCTCACTCACACAGCCTCACTATCCTGTGGGGTCGCGGGCACCATAGACGCACCCTGGAGGGGACATCAGTGCATCACAGGGTTGTATCAATTCAATTAAGGAGACATTTAGTTTAATTCAGCCCTCGAGCACTTAGACGGCATGAAGGTGAGGGATCCGAGGTCGCCTTGAACACGGCTGTTTGTCTGCTCGGTGAACAGTACCGACTGCTGCCGAGCGGTGGCGCTCCAGACCACCTTTTTGCGTGTTATTGCCGAATATAGCGCACGGCTCCGGGCTTCTTCGGTAACCTTGTTTCACGTCAGAGCGGATGGTCCTGCGTATCAGCCACTTTTATCGAGTCCGAGTCGGTTCTGTTTGTTTTTTGGGGGAAATTTCACGAGATCGGTTCCGCTACTAGGCATTTACTCTGGAGACCCCCACGCCGGACCGGGCTCAATCCTGCGTCGGGATCCCGCTGAGGTTTCGCTTCGGAAATGCTGGCGAAACGGTTCTGAAATAAGCGAACAGGCTTCGGCGACTCGGCCATTGCGGCGGCCCCGGTATCCGAACGGCCGCGTCCCACTGGATGTTTAAACAAAGCGGCGGCGGTTCCGGCGTTCAGCCCCAGCTGTGTGTGAGCGGCTCGAAACCGGGACCGAGGCGGGCGGGCCGCAGTCCGGACACGGTGACGCGGAGGGAGCCGGAGGAGACCGCGGCGCCGCCACCCAGGTACGGTTACTTTGTGTTACGGAGTATCGCGTCTTTCCGCCTGCATTTCCGCATCCACTTTCACACGCACATACGCGGCGTTTAGCTGGGCTCCGGGCTGCTTTGACGCGACCTATTTTTGGGAAGCGCCAAGCTCCGCCCGAGGGGGCATCGGAACCGAGGCGGCGCGGTAAAATGACCGCCAGATATGCGACTCTGTCCCCGGCAGGCTGCTTGGTGACTCTGCCGGCGTGTTATCAGATCAGCGGGGTCCGGAGCGCAGATTACGGGCTGTTGACCTACATAACGAGTCCCAGCGATGGGAGAACCGGACCCCTCACACCCCGAACCGCCTCTGTCTCCTGTGTGGTGCGGGAAAGGCACATTATATTATGCGAAAGACAGCCGCATGAGTCAACATGACTTATTTCTAAAGAGTCTTTGTTTAAAATAGTTCTTCTGGTAAATGCTCGGTGGATATATATCTAAATGAAAAGACGCTTTAGTTTTGTTTTATTTATTGTATTTTCGCTATAATAACAAATTCAGTCAAAATAACGTTGTAAATAGTCCCAGTTTGGTCATCCTGTTGGTTGTTTGGCAGATCTGAACGCGTTTCACATCCCCATTATTTGCGTTGCACTGCGTCTTTTGGGAAATCCCGAGTACAGAGGTAGATGGGCCCTGAACCGGACCGAAGCGAACCGAGCTGCCTGAGTGAGAGCGTGTCCGTGAGCAGCTCGTCTTAACTGACCCCAGATCAGCTGCGACTGCTGCTCAGCTGGAAGCTGTACACCTGTCACTTTGGCGTCATTTCACCTTTTCTCGCAAATACAAGATGCTCTTTGGGGCGGTGCATCTGCACGAGACTTTGTGCGCGATTCCCTCTGGTCTCTGAAGTACTGCTTTGTGGAACAGAGGCACAGCAGGCAGGAAGACTAACCAGTCAAGTTTGACCTGATGTGAGTTTCTTTTGGGCATGGATGAGCTCAGTCGAATTCAGAGATACATAGTCAAAAGTAATAACTCGAGTTTGGCTGAGTTCATTTGCAATTTTTTGAGACCTGTTCTATTTCACTGGTCATCCTCCCTATAGCCTGTTCTTCCTACCTTTCCATAACCTTGTGCGTTATGTAGAGCTGGGGTCTATCCTAGATTGTCCATGCAGGATACACACACCACTACACCTTGTGTGATGGAGGAAAGCAGGAGTCACCAAATCCACAAGCTTGGAGCTACGACTTCAGAGTGTTACCTGCTGAGACACCATCGTGCTCTTGAAAATCGTGCTTAGCAAACAGATTGTGGCTTGCTGCTAATGTTACGACAGCTCTGCGCGTTAAACCTCACGTGTACTGAACTGAGTCAAATTTATTTATCTGGGATGGTGACTCAGTTCAGTTGCAGTTTTTGAGTTGTGGGTTTTTTCCCTGTTTTCTCTGAATTTCTAAATTTAGCAAATCGGAACCTGTCGTTTTTGTATTATTACCAGTCTCATTAGCAGTATAAATCTCTGTTTTTTACTTGTGATTTTGTGTATTTCATCAACACGATTGGAGTGATTCAGATTGAGGCCCATGTTTGGCTGTAGCGGGACCATCCTTGGGATTCAATCAGCCGCCCACCATTCTGTGAGTCGACACCGTTTAGCCGCTACGTTGCCCACGCTGTGCTAATTAGCGCAGCTAGCTCTTCTGTTTTAGACATGCCCTGCCGTTTATTTGGTTGTGATTTGGCAGTCTGGGCCATTTCTGCCACTGGTTGGTAGTACCTTTTTTGCCATTGGCTCACCACCTCCTCCATATCTTTCTGCCACACTTCTTCAAATCACCATTTCTGGTCTGTAGCTGTGCTCTTACATTCACGGTCCTGAACAAACGCTGCTCCGTTACTTTGCTTAGGCAGAGGCTTCTTGTACTATCTCCATTCTCGAACTGGGATTATGACTATCTTAAGTTCCTCTGCCAAGAAACAACAACAGTCTGGGTACTTTAAAGCAGAGGCCTTTTGCTGTTAAGAGTGGGGTATTGAACACTACGCCACCTAATGGTGTGTCCAATATAAGTGTTGGATAATAGAAACTTGTCAGCTGGTGTGTTGGACTCTGAGTGTCGTATGAAATGGGCATCGTTTCCATTCTTATTGTGCATCTCATTTGAACTGTGAATAAATCAGGCGTGTTTAAGTAGTTAGATGCTCACTGGAAGATGGGAGAGACCAGCATGATGTCTGCAGCATTCCTCTCTTGGCAGAATGGCTGAATCTCATGAAAGAGAAACATAAAGCTGTGGAACAGAATATTAAATCAATCTCTGCTTCCTTATAACCAGGGCAGCGAAGAGACCACAGTATGGTGGGTCCTGAGTCAGGTTCTGGAACTCTCCATTGGAGGCTTGTGCCTTCCTCATTGATCCCCGTAGTCTGATGGGCCTGGTCAGTTTTTAGCATTATTGAATATATGGGATATTTTCAGAAGCTTTGGATTTTATTTTGTGGGGGCCTGAAGCCTGTCCCAGGCAGTACAGGGGACAAGGCTGGGGGACACCCTGGACCGGATGCCAGTTCATCACAGGGTATATACATTGAATGATTGTTTTGTGTGTGTCATTTAGCCAGAGGAACTCCCGCAACATGGTGAGAATATGCAAAAGCTACCGTCCCACACTCCAATGTCCCATAATTGAAAACAATGAGTAGATGGAAACATATCATATGGTTCTCGGCCCGGTTATCTAATCTGCTGTCAGATAAGTGATAGAATTAGGTGAATTTTCAATATTTGTTACAATTTTAAGCCGTGTTTAAAAATACTTCCGTGTGTTTCTTGTGCTGCGTATAAACATTAAACGTATTTTAATCTTACTGCACTCTGAATGGAGTTATCTAGGCAATAGTTTGCAAATTTCGCACAAAGCTGAAAAAACGGATCTGTTTTCGGTTCCGCTCCTCCTTTACGGATCAAAAGTCGTAAATCTTTGTCGCAGATTCCCCAAGGTCTAACACCGGGAATGTATTTATCTTTTCATTGTTTTCTTTGTAAATAACAATAATCACTTTATACATAATTATACAAACGTGAGCACGCCTGGTTCTAAATGTCTCTGTAAAACAAACCGCTAAGTATCTCCTGCTGCTTTATTCCTGTCCTCCGGTCTTCGGTTCCTCCGCTCTCCCTGCCCTGGTTCCTCCGGCCCGGTGCCGCTTGCCGCGCCGCGGTTCCTCCGGCTCGGTATCTCTCGCAGCGCCGTGGCCCGGCTTGTGGGGGAGGACCGCAGGCGAGGTAAACAAGCAGCCCGTCATCAGCAGGCGGCGGGAACATGGCGGCGGCGCCACGCTCGGCTGCAGCGCTCTTCCGCGGAGCCGAAGGTCGGAGGCGGCCGTGACGACTGCTGTGGCGGAGAAGACGAGCCGCGGTGAGTGCGCGGACTTGCGGGGATGGGCACCCTTGCTTTTGGGCCGGTTTTGGCATTTCGGCTGCGCAGTTAATCTGGAAATAGCTGGGGGAGGGGAATGTGAGCCGAGCCGTGCGTGTTTGGCAGCTTGGGGATCCGCTCGACCCGGCTACCGGAGCCTCTCGGCCGCCTGGCTCCGGAGACGGGGGCACCGCGGCGTACTACCGCACGGTCGCCAGAGTCCGGGATCCGCGGGACCAGGTCGCCGCCTTCCGCCGGAGTGTCCGCGGCACTTGAGACGGCGCCGCTACTTTCGCTTTATCGCTGAGAACTTATGGGGCTCCGATGGGGTCCGGGCGCCTTACCCAAGTTTGACCGGCTCGTCGCGGCCAGTGCTGGGCTCCCACGACGGGCTATGAGAGTGTATCCGGTAGAGAGAGCCACCTGGACCGGCTGCTCGTGTGAGCCGTTCCGGGGCGCCGCCTTATCTACACTGGTGCGTGGCCGAAATGTGCGTTTAGGGACCGGACTGGACTGTACGGGACAGGGTAGCAGGAACTCGGGTGCGGGGGTGACAGGCAGGCCGGCGCCCCATTCCTCCGGGCAGCGCTACCGTGACGCGCCCGGGCCTTGAAACTACATAATCAAGTCTCAGCTTACGTGTTAATGGGGTTCATACGCGCAGGAGGGGTAAAGGTTACAACGTGTGTGAGTGTGTGTGTGGACGGGTTCGTGTGTTCAAGGGTGTAGGAACCAGGGTGAACCCCTCTATCCCCCAATATTTAATTTTCCCCCCCCCCCCCCCCAAAAAAAAAATAGACCTTTACATTTAAATTGTTTTATCCCCCCAGTCTCATTCTTCTCTGGCCATGTGTCTTTGTGTGTGTGACTGAGAGGATGTGTAGCCAGATTGCCACATTTTCCATGACTGTAAAACGGCACACTGTTGTGTTCAGAAAGCAGTTTTTATGGCAGTTTTGGGGGTTAATTTAATAATAAAATTATTCAACGGGTAGTATTCCAGGCTCAGGGGTTTGAAACTGGCCTCTGCTATATGTCCCCCTCTCTTGCTCTGTGTGCCCTGTGATGTGCCCCCCTCCCCTCCACGAGTGGGAATTTCTCAACCAGTGAGACCCTGAGTGACACCCTTAGGCATCACTCTTTGATAACAATGATTATAATCACTATGACTATTGCTCATGCTACACTTTGTAGCCTTTGTTGAAGTGACCTGTACTTTTTGTTTGATGTACAGCTTCATACTCAACATCCTCACCCAATATAAGCTGTTAATATTTACTTGGTTGCTGGTGTAATAATAACTCATTTAATGCTCAGTGCACTTAAAATTGTTTGGTTGGCAGAAGCTCCAGCTTATAGATGTGACCATTTTAAGGGGATTTGTGATCGAAGCTCCACCATTTGTTTCCCATCCCAGTCCTTGGGGACCCCAGGGAGTCCACATTTTTGCTCCCTCCCAGCTCCCGGGGACAGAAGGTAGTGTTTTCATTACTTGATCATTGTGTGCCTGATGGTCCTCTGGAGACTTTTAAGGGATGGTTAGTGGCGCCGGGTTCGAACGGGACAGCACCATCTTCCATACATCATTTTAAAAAACGACAGTCACGT